AGTAAACACGGAATTGGAGTAGAAATGAATAATAATTAAAAAGGGGTGGGCATAGATGTCTTTGAGCTTGGGAGAAATTCTATTTATTAGCTTCCTTTCCTTCCTTCTGATATGCCTCTACATTTTCCATTTAACAGACCAGTCTTTTTTTTTTTCTTTATTTAGAATGAATTTGTAAATGACATATTTGTGATGCACACAGTTTAATTAAAAACATGTTTCTTCTTTCTCCTCACCTTTTCATTTGATAAAACTGTTGCCACTGCTAAATTGCAGCTGTTAACATCCTCTCAGTGACTTATAAGATCAGTCACAGGGCCGGCCCCATGGCTTAGCGGTTGAGTGTGTGTGTGCTCTGCTACTGGCGGCCCGGGGTTCGGATCCCGGGCGCGCCCTGACCCACCGCTTCTCTGGCCACGCTGAGGTGGCGTCCCACAGGCAGCAACTAGAAGGATGTGCAACTATGACATACAACTATCTACTGGGGCTTTGGGGGAAAAAAGGAAGAGGAGTGGCAATGGATGTTAGCTCAGGGCTGATCTTCCTCACACACACACACAAAAAAAAACAGTCACAATACTCAATTGCTGTTTGATGGAGTCAAAAAGGAAGAAAAGTATACATAATTTGAGAAAAAGAGAATATGTAGTACTATTATGAGAACAGAAGAGATTCCAGTGTATTTCCAGAGTAGGCTGGAAGGCTTTCCAGTGTATTTGAGAAGAAATATAAGTGTTTAAAATTGTTGCTCCAGTTTTGGGTGCCAAGATTAGGATTATCTTTGCTCAAAATGCTTTCATGTTATTCTAGGTCTTTCTTCTTCCAGAGGTAACAAGGGGTTTTATTTTTTATAACAGCTTTATCAGAGTATAGTTGACATACAATAAACTGCACATATTTAATGTATGCAATTTGATAAGTTTTGACATGTGTACACAAGTAAAATCGTTGCTACAATTGAAATAATTAACATGTTCATCATCGCCAAAGGTTTTCTTTTGATCCTTTGTAATCCCTCCTGCCCATTTTTTATGCCCCTCCACAACCTGTTCCCAGGAACCAACTGATGTGCTTTCTGAGATTTCTATAGATTCCTAGGATTTTATATAAATTACGTCGCACAGTATATATCGTTTTTGTCTTGTTTCTTTCTCACAGAATAATTGTTTTTTTATTCATTCATGTTGTAGCATGTGTCAGTGTATGTTTGTTTGTTGCTAAGCAGTACTCCATTATATGGTTATATCAAATGATCACGGACGTTTGGGTTTTTCGTTTGCCACTATATGAATAAAGCTATTATGAAAGTTTGTGTCTTTGTATGGACATTGGCTTTACTTCTCTTGGGTTGATACCTAGGAGTGGAATGCTGGGTCATATGATATGTATATGTTTAACATTTTAAGAAACTGTCAGCTGGTTTCTAAAGTGGTTGTGTCACTGACGAGACACCTCAAGAAATTCAGGGTGGGTTTGGAAGCAATTAACTGTTTCTCCAAGTTGTTTTTTACTCTTGTATGTTAAGGAGATGTAACCAGCAACTATTCTGAAACTGACCAAGCCTCACCACAAGAGCTACGCCCATGACCTTTGCCTTAACGTTAATGCTAAGATCTCTCCAGGTGGAGCTCAGCCCTCATTACTGTAACCTGCAGTGTATGTGGAAGCATGTTTTCCAACTGAGCCTGCGCAAGTGAATACCCGCCTGTCCCTTTTGAATATTCATTCCCCATCTGAAATAAAAGTTCCTGCTTCCCTTTGTTCTGGGATGCCATGACTTTGGAAATGATTCCTCATGGCCTTGTATTTGCTGCAATACACTTTACTTTGTGAGACAACTTCCATTGGTGTAGAGTCTTTTTTAACTCACCAGGAGGTGAGCCCACTTGGTTCAGTAACAGTTGTACTGGTTTACATTTCTACCAGCAGTGCATTAGAGTCCTAGCTGTTCCACATTCTCACCAATACTTGATTTGGTCAATCTTTTACACTTTAGCCATTCTAATAGATATGTAGTGGTATTTCTCTGTAGGTTTAATTTGCATTTCCCTAGTGACTAATGATGTTCAGCATCTTTCCTTGTGCTTATCTGCCATCCCTTTATCTTCCCTGGAGACATGATTGTTCAAATCTTTTGCTCATTAAAAAGAAATTGGATTTTTTTTCCTATTGAGTTTTGAAATTTCTTTGTATATTATGTATACAAGTCCTTTATTAGTTATATGTATTACAGCTCTTTTTTCTCAGTCAATAGTATGACTTTTCAGTCTCTTAACATTGTCTTTTGAAGAAGAGAAGTATTTAATTGTGATGAAGTACAGTTTATTAGTTTGTTCTTTTTATGGATCATACTTTTGGTGTTGTATCTAAGAAATCTTTGCATAACCCAAGGTCACAAAGGTGTTTACCCATGTAATATGGTTTTATGACTTACATTTAGGCCTGTGATCTATTTTGAGTCAATTTTTGTAAGTTGTGTGAGGTGTGGATCAAAGTTAATTTTTTTTTTTTGCATACAGATGTTCAATTGTTCTGGCAAAATTTGTTGCCAAAAAATATACTTTCTCCACTGAATTGCTTTGTACCCTGTTTAAAATTAGTTTATTTATGGGTGAGTCTGTTTCTAAACTCTCTATTCTGTCACATTGGTGGATTATTTTTCTATCTTTTCACCAATACCACATTGTTTTAATTACCGTAACTTTGTAATAATTCTTGAAGTAATATATTGTTAGCCTTGCAACTTTATCCTTTTTTCAAAGATGTTTTGGCTATTCTAGGTCTTTCCTTTGCATTTCCATATGCATTTTAGAATAGGTTTGACAATTTTTACCAAAAGAGGTCTGCTAGAATTTTGATTGAGATCGAATTGATCTATAGATTAATTTAGGTAGAACTGTCTTCTTAACAATGTTGAGTCTTCTGACCCATGGATATGATATATCTCTCCATTTATTAAAAATTAATCCTTTAATTTTTGTCAGAAAAGTTTATTAGTTTTCAGTGTTTCACACATTTTATTATTTTTCATTTAAATAGACACACATTTTATTTAAAGACATTTACTTAAAAATTATTTTCACTTCCTTGGATGAAAACCATCACTTGCCATAATTGGAAGGTATCAAATAAAGCTTTGATAATCAAATAAAAACACAAAAATAGTGTTAAATTCCAGGTAAATACTGTTACTTGCTGACTCTCTTTTTAAATTTTTTTTTTTGTTGTTAAAAAGCATAATTAACAAGTCTTAGAAAATTCTTACATATTTACACCAAGCTGAGTATTTTCCTTTATGCAACTAGGTCTTAAAAATAAATAGAAAAAGGGAATTGTTTTCTCACTGGGTAATTCACTGTACTTTGATGATCCTTGTAGCACTAAAAACTCATTTCTCATACGTTGGATATGACTTCCATGGTTACGGAATAACTAGATTTTAGGCAGGAGTGGCTTGAGCAAAGACAGTGGAGTGAGATAGTTTCGTTATTATAGAATCCGCAGAGGTTAGGAATTCCTAGTGTGGTAGTTGTAAACCTTGGTTGTATATAATCATCATCTGAGAGTTTAAAAGACTCAGACCAAAAGAATCAGAATACTTGGATTGGAGTGTCTACATCTTGCAAAAGTTCCCTAGGTAGTTCTAATGCTTAGGAAGGATGGGAAACCTCTACGTAGGATGTCAGGATGTTGATATGGGAGGATGGTGATGGCGGTGATGGTGTGAAGTGGGTGGGCTGGAGAAAACCCAGATTGATTATCAATGTCTGTCCAGGACGTCAGTAGGTGGAGTGGTAAAAATATCATTATCATTTGCCACTTTAGGGCCAGAATATGAACTGGCTGTCAAGGCAGTTGAATATTATCTTGAAGAACTGAGAGAGCCCTCACTCTCCTTTCCATTTAAGAAGCAACACATGAATTTTCTGCCTTAAATGCTCTTTTGGTTTAAAAGCAATATGATCTTTTCTTACAATGAAAGGCATTAAATGCATATTTCAATAGTGCATTTATGATAGCATATTTAAAGAATGGTCTAAATGAACTTCCCCAATACTTGACAATAGAAATGTGAAGTAGTATTTTGGAAACAGCTTTAACCTGATTGCTGCCTATAAATAGGTTCAGATAAGAAACTCATAAATATTTCTTTGGGTGGTTGCATTTCAAAATATAACAATACATAGAATCCAAATTTGCATGTGTAAGTAAATAGCATGCAGGAGAAGAATCTGAATGTTAATCAAGTCTCCTAATTATTTACCCATTGTTTTGGCAAAGCCCTAAGACTCATTTAAAACAAGGCATCTTTAAAGCGGGTAACATTTGCGGCTTGTCAGGCTATGCTTTCTCATTAACACCGGCCATGCTACCATCCTGAAGACTTCATCTGGGAAAAGGAAAGAAAAGGAGAACTCCATATCCAAATCTTCAAACTTGCTTAGGGGAAGCGTGGAACTGGGGGAAGGAGAACTTCAAATCTTGCTTCCTTGAGGAAGGGCAGTAAGAGGTGTGAGAGACGGCGTGAAGATTATTTACAAAAATATACCTTGAAGAATTCCTGGGGAAGCAAGTGGGGGAACAGGGCTTCTTTGGGGAAGGAACATTCGCAGCCCATCAGGACGGTTTTTTGTGTCTCCCAGGGCCCCTCCTCCCAGCCGGTCCCCGCGCTCCGTCCCTGGCCCTCCCTCCCCGGGCTTCAGGGCTCGGCCAGTAGAGGCGGTGGGCGGGGTAGGCTCTCCAGCCTCGCCTCCTCCGGCTCAGAGGGCGCCGGAGCAGAGGGGCATTAAGTGAGCGCCCGGGACTCCACTAAGAGGCTCGCTGGGCATCTGCGCCTCTCAGCGTCTCCAGCTCCGGGAGGCGGTCGTCGCCAGCTCACCGGGGGAGTTGTGACGAACTTTGGCCGTGTGCGGGTGGGCGGCAGCGGGACTGCGGCCGGTCCTCCAGCCTCCCGCACCCCGGCAGGGTTAGCTCTGGACAGCGCACTGGCCTTCTCGGGGATGGAGCAGTCACAGTGTGGCAGCAGAGACCGCGGCGGCAGCGGCCGACCCCCGCTGGCCCCGGGGCTGGTGGCGGCGGCCCCTCCGCCCCCGGCTCCGGCGTTGCCGGGACCCCCGGGGATACCCGTTCCTGCAACTTTCCTGCGGCCGCCGAGCCTTTTCCTGCGGGCAGCCGCCGCCGCCGCCGCCGCCACCACGGGGAATGGAGGCTGCCCGCCGGCTCCCGGGCTGGAGAGGGGGGCACGCGCGGTGGGCTGCGGCTACCCGCGGACGCCCAAGTGCGCCCGCTGTCGCAACCACGGCGTCGTGTCGGCGCTCAAGGGCCACAAGCGCTTCTGCCGCTGGCGGGACTGCGCGTGCGCCAAGTGCACCCTGATCGCCGAGCGCCAGCGCGTCATGGCCGCCCAGGTGGCGCTGCGCAGGCAGCAGGCCCAGGAGGAGAGCGAGGCCCGGGGGCTGCAGAGGCTCCTGTACCCGGGACCCTCGGGGCCCGGCGCTCCGACGTCCGGAGGCAGCGGCGGAACCGAGACTCCCCAGGCCGCGAGCGGCCCTGCGGCAGTGACTGCGATGGGGCTGGGGGCCTTGAGACGGGCTGGGGCTCTGGCGAGCCCTGCGTTCGAGGTTTGCCAGCCAGATTATACAGAGGGACAACAAGGTGAGTTCATCTTTCATTCGCTCTTTGCAAAAGAAAAATGGTAGTTTTGGAGAGAAACTCTGATACGAGCAGCGGTACCCTGGAGGCGGGCAAGGAAAGTTGTTTAAAAAGAAGCACTTAAGTTCTGGGAAACTTCGCTGCAGCGTGGATGTTAATGAAGGTGTTAGAGACCCATCACTTTCACTTCGGAAGGGCTTTCTATTCCCTTCGGTGATAGGATAAGATCACGAAAAAGTGAAGCGTGAGTCATCAGATGAGCTACTCATGCGAGGAATGGAGTTTGGTCCAAGTTGCTATGAGTTTCTCTGTGTGAGTAGAAGAGCTTCAAGCGGACATTGAGTGAAAAGCTAATTAGAGAAGCTGCCTTCTGAGCTTGCTCTGTACTGTTTTCTGCTGTAAAACCGGAGTCAGTCTTCTGATCCTGCGTGGGAAACTCACTGATGGTTGGAAGTTTACCTTTGGGGCAAACCTTTGGCGCCAGCTGGAAGTGGGGAAGAGACAGAAGTCTACCAAAGCTTTTTTTTACCCTCTTCCCTTAAAATTTTTAAGCATTCCACCCCCCACCCCAACGGTGTCAGCCTCCAAAAGTGTAGAAAGCTCTGATATTTGTCGCTTCAGCTCTTCCCATAGGAAAGAAATTTAGTTTTACCAGATTTGTAAAAACGTTGGTAAGAATTTCAAAGTCCAGTATTAGCGATTTCTTATCCAAGGAGTTTTAATTTTTTTTCTCTTATTATTAGAGTACAAATCATCTTCATCCCCTGTGTTAGGTAAAAAAAGATATATATATTTTTGACTATGCTTATGCCAAATTAACTTTTCCTGCTTATGTAAATCTCGCTGTATTTTAGTGAATTTCATAGTCTTCCACAGATCACACCAGCAGTGAAAATGTCATTTCAGTATTTTTGTATAAATCCAAGACAGGCTGTATCATATGAAATTATATGATAATGATACAATAAGTTATTAATTAGAAAACTCCCTTGAACGGTGAAAATTGCAGATCTTAACAGATCACAGGATGTCCTTTTGAAAAAGACTCTCTGTATTTAAATAAGGCATATATGATTTTGTGTTTGCCTATACCAACTTTTTGCCCGTGTTCTAGTCTATCCCAGTGGACAAAATAGACTTTAAGCATTTCTCATGAAAAATCAAAGAGGGCTAAAGAACAAAGTTATTAAGCAAAACTGCTATAAAAAAGAAAAAGTTAAAATTCCATAAACTAAATTGACAGGGAGATCTGGCTGAAAATCTCTCTGCTAGACATTGATTATGTAATTTTTTTGGGTGCAGGGGTACCAAAGTGTTCTGTTTATAGGGTCAATTATTTTATTTTATTCTTTGCTTCAATTGATCTCCTTTTTTGAAAAGCTACTTCCATGGGTTTTCTAAACTGACTGCCTCCTCTTACGCAATATCCGTGAACTGTAGTCGTCTATTTAGTTTACTCATTAAGTAGACAAAGACGAACAGTGATTCAGAGGTGAATAAGATTTTCCAACACAAAAGAGCCTTATACTCAAAAGGAGAAAAACTATATGTATCAAAAAACTACAATGCAAGACATAATATACAATGATAAAAGTAAAGAAGTAAAATCAGCTATGGTAGTTGAGAGAACAGAGAGATGATGTAAATGATGTCACAGTATTTTAAAGACATCTTCTTTTCCAGGTAGTCTTATGCAGTCAGTATTTTATTATATTATATTGTACTCCAGGAATACAATGTAATAACAAAAAATTATTTTATGCATAAGTTGCTTTAGAGATGGAATTTCGACACCTTACATGTTCAGAGGGCAAATTTAGTGAATCATATTTATTAATGAAATGGAATGGTGGACCTAGGCCAATCTGTTTCCACTTGGCAGACTTCATTAGAAAAGTTTTATTGTTTTATTTAAAGTTGAAAATAGTAGCGTGTCTTTGTAATTTTGCAGAAGCAACATTTTTTTTTGTCATATGTTTATACAGTGACAGCACTTTAACCCTCAAAGTGTTAAATTGCACACACTTACTATTTTAAAATAAACTATAAATATTTCTTTAGAATTTAGAACGGCTTCTTGAGAAAACATAGCAGTATTGCAAATCAGGTTTGTAAATCACCACTTTTAGGCGATATTTGTTTTGTTGCATTCATAAACTTTGTAGAAAAAGAAAGTTTGAAATACTCTGAGTACTCCACTTGACAGTTTAGTCTTTCTAATGGAAATAGAGATAAAATATGTCTGTAAGGTAAGAGAAAAAGTAAACCAAAATAAAAGTTATTTAGTCAATGTGTACGTTATTATTATTTTCCTGGCATTAGCGTTGCAAAAGGGTATTAAAGATATTCTTGTTTTAGTAATATTCATATGCTCAACATGTTGAGGTAGAAAATCAGATTTTTGTGTAAAAATATTTTTGGAAAATTGTCCTTGATATTGGAAAGGAGTTGTGATTTAAAGCAAATGGCTAATATGTTTTTTTATAAGACATTTTGAAGATACATATATGGATTGCAATAATGCAATAGTGCAGTTTATAATTTTCTTTCAGAAGCAATTTGGTAACTCTTTTCTTGATATTCTCTAGGGATTGAAAAGGAAAGTACGTCTTTCACAGAGGATTATGAAAAAATACCAGCTCTGTATCATCCCTCACATAAAATGAAATATGTGTGTGAGCTCTGGTGTGATTTGAGATTGGTACAGCAGTGGTCATTATTGGTCAGATTTGAAATGAAATTAACAATTTTGTTATTTTTCACATTATTAAGGTAACTTAATCGGAACCCAAAATGTGAGCATTAAAAAACCCATTGTTGAAATTTAGCATTATTGAATAAATAGAATATGCATCTTCATACTAAGATTGTTTTTTCTTTTGATTTCTTATCTAATCAATCATTTTATCAGTGTCATTGTGAAAAAAATACTCACTTGGATAACAACTAAACTTGGGTAGCATTTAGGAAAATCTCAAATCGCCCAATGGGGCAAAGAGTGTGAGATATTGGTGTTACATTAACCGTTTGGGGTAACGGTAGACTTTCATTTTCTGATTCCTAAATAACTATAGCATCTGTATATTATATAATTTTGTGATCTTGAAATGACATAATAAATACCATTGTCCCACTGTCCCAAGACTTGCATTTCTGAATGATCTTTAAAAATTCTTATTCATTGAAGTGTCTTACAGTGACTAAGTATTACTAGTATATTGTGAGTGAATGAATTATTTTATCCAGCATTATTTTTGAGTGGGCAGTATTATGTTCTGGGAAGTTTCCTTTTTATTTGATTCCTTTTTTTTCTCTTTCCCAGAACAAAAAGAGAGTAAATGTGACTCATGCCAGAGTGGACAAGAAGAACTGGTGTCTAAATCCCATCAACTAGCCCTGGGATCATCTCCTAAGTCTAATGGTGTCACTGGAAAACAAAACGTCAGGTCAACTCTTTCAGAAAACTCAAACAAGGATGCTGGCATCCAGTCTCCTCTTGGTGGGGAGCAATCGGGAGGTGAAGAGAGCCCCGGGTCCCTGTCATCGTCTGATCTGGAATCAGGAAATGAAAGTGAGTGGGCCAGAGACTTCACTGCTACCAGAGCCAGCCTCCCGGCAGTGTCCCCAAGACCAAGAGACCCTCTTGATATCCTTACCAAGATTTTCCCAAGTTACAGACGCAGCCGGCTGGAAGTCATTCTACAGTTCTGCAAAGGGGATGTGGTCCAAGCCATTGAACAGGTCCTAAATGGGAAAGAACACAAACCAGATCCCAGGGACCTAGCAAGCTCAGGAGAACTGGAAAAGACAGCTTTTCAGAAAGCTTCGAATTTTAGTTTTGCTGGAATTGGTTTTGGAACTCTAGGGAATAAATCAGCTTTCTCTCCTCTTCAAACTACTTCTCCTTATGGAGGTGACTCCAGTCTCTACAGCTTAAATCCTAGACTAGGTATCAGTCCATTACGCCTGGCATATTCCTCTCCAGGAAGAGGGCTATCTGGTTTCATGTCTCCCTACCTAACTCCTGGGTTGGTACCAGCGTTGCCTTTTCGGCCAGCTTTGGATTATGCCTTTTCAGGGATGATTAGAGATTCTTCCTACCTTCCCAGCAAAGACTCAGTAACTGGTGGAAGACTGTATTCCAGGCCAAATCAGGACAATCTGTAATGCATCTGCCTATTCTCACTCTCTGGAGTAATTCTAGAAGCATGCAGTACAGCCCTCACACCCACATCTATTAATGTGTTCACTGTGTCTGTAAGTGGATTACCAGGCCTTAAAAATGCTATTTTTTTTTCAAAAGCAATATGATAAACTTGAGATCTAAAGACTCTTCTTTAGCATTTATTAAGTGAAATAAGCATTTAAATATTATATGTGCCTTGAATAAAGCCATTTCTGGAAATGTTTTTACTTTAAACTAATGAATTTTCTCCCTTAAATATCAATTGTAAAATCCCTGTTTTAAAACTATGCTTGTTTTTATTTTATTGAAAAGTAGAGTTTATAGTTGTAAAATACATTTGTAAGTGTAAAGCAATCCACCATTATATAAAATGAACCAAAAGGAAGAAGTTAAAAATTGAGATAATTCTAAATAATTATTTTAAACTTTGTGTTTCCTTCTGTTCCTTGTACACAGGAAAGAAAGTTATTCAAAGTATTTTAAAATATTTTATTCGCATATAAGTGATTAGTAATAAGTAAAACTTCTGAAAATTTTAAATTCCTTATTTTTTTCTGAATGTCTTATTTTTCATTCATATGCGCCATTTGTGATAAGTGCCATTAATAAAACGTTTCTCTTTTAAGTGAACACTGAATTACACAAAGACCTATGAAGTATTTTAGGAAATAAGACCGCGCCATCTCCTGGCGGCTATCACTACTTGCAGCTAAGTTCTGGTAGCGTATATGAATTAAAAACGAATGGTTTCCTAATAGTATAAGCTAATCATTTTTTGAAATGGTTATTTTGGATTACGCTACATAGAAATTTTCATATTGCAAAGTGAACATCTGTGGACTAGGATTTTAATCTTTAAGTATGCTTGTGCCTGTATCTGGGGAAGTACCCCTTTCCATATGTTTGTGACAAGAGTACGGCAGCCATTCTCAAAGGTAAAAATAATTTTATGTGGAAAATTTAAAGAGCTGCTCAGATAAATATTGATTGACTCTAGATAGATGACAGTGCATTGAGGAGAGATATAAGATTTCCAAAGGAGAAAAACTGTCATTAAATTTTAGAAGTTTTCTTGAGATTTTAAAAATACTTTTTGTTCTCCATCTGGAGCATTTGAAAGCTGTTTATTCCAGTCAGTGGAAAGTCCCTGAGAAAACTGCTTACAAAACAATTTTATGAAGTTTTCTTTATACGTCATCATTTTTTTTAAGGACAGTAGCTTTATTGTTATTGTTAGGAATAAATGGAAACCCAGCTGTGGTCTAAGTTGATGATTTAGCGATGGTTTAAACAATATGAGCAGCACGATCCACTAGAGATTTCTTAAATTGTATGTATGTGTGTATGTGTGTGTGTGTGTGTATATATATATGCATATATATGTGTATCATATGCTCAAGCCCTATCAGTTCTGTCATCATGAAGGTTTTTCCATGAAGCCAAATAAGAATATGTTTCTAAAGTATATTTTACCAGCAAATATCATATTAAATGACTACATAGTATCTGATACTAGTTGAGGATGCAAATATGTTCAGTAGAGTATGCATTATTTTTAATGGTGTGAACCTGAGAAAGCAGATCTTGTCAAGCTTTGATGCAATCAATATTCATTATTTATAAAAACATTTTAGATTCTAAGACTAAACCCTGGTACAATGCCTGGCAAGTAGTTGACATTCAATTAATAGATACTGAGTGAAGAAACTATTTTGGATAATAGATCTCTTTGAGACTCTGATAAAACCAAAGAACTCTACAAAACAGCATTACAGATGCACAGTTTTGTATACAATTTCACGGGGTTCTTGAATCTCCTAAGTGCCATTCACCATTCACGTTAGAATCTTTGGTGATTCTTAAGTTGTTTCCATTGGATTAATTCATTTATTGAATGCTATTTTTTTGAGAAGTGCTAGATCCTATAGAGGATACTGAATGTAAAACATTGTGCCCTCAAGGAAGTTACATTATACAATAGAGAGCTGGTTTAAAAATACAGCAAATGCTCAAGTTGCTGGATTCATTATGTGGTTTATATAATGATGTGCATGTATCCATTTGAGAGACTGAGTTGCTTTTGAACTGGGGAGAACATCCATTTTGGGCAGTATTCAAATTTTAAGAAACAACTTTATAATCTTAAAACTTAATTTACATAGTGCTTTATACATTTTATAACATTTACAATAATTTTAGAACTTAAATAATCTTATAGAATAAGGTACAATAATTTTGTCCAACCATTAAATTGAGTGTGAGGAATCTGAGGCTTAGCAGTAGTGTTGTCCACCCCCAAGGTTACAATAACAGTGTCAGTCATCAGGAGTGACAGTGACGTCACCAATTTCAATTAGACTGTAAGGTCTGAGGAAGGATTCATGTCAGTGTGTCCACTCACCACTTTGTATAGTATCTGGTACGTAATAGATGCTCGAGTAATAGTTTTCCATTGATTGAATTAAATAAAAGATAGAAAGTGTTAGCTTAGAAATTCATTTACTCAACAACCGTTTATTAAGCACCTAGAACCAAGGGATAAGGAGGTGAGTAAGATACAAGCCCTCACCTCTAGTTGCTCACGATCTGTGTTACCATGTGTACAAGAACAACCAACCAACCAATGTTGGTACATCAGTGAGTTCTGTCTAATCTTGAAGTTTATGCCCGTGGATGCTGCATGAGGCCTGAACTCCTACGCCACTAATTGGGGGTGGGGAGGAAGAGGGAGAACATGTTTCCCTGTAGTGTGTTTAGGGAAGTCTATTTCGTTTTAGAGGTAAACAACTTTCAAGTCTATGGTGAAAGAAGTGGGCAAAGAGGAGGCTTTTGTTCACCTGAATGGAGTCGTGTGTGGAAGTCATCCTGGCGTCCTTGTGGCCTCTGGGTCAGAGTTATTGCCCATTCCCAATTCCAGGGTTGGTCTTTTGGAGTTCCTCTGATTCAGTGCCTAGGCCTCCTGGTCTAAGCTCTCGTCTAGCTATTCTGTGAAAATGGCGTAGAATTGAGGGGACAATCGAAGAGCATGTGAGTCCAATGTTCTACTGTTTTTATCTGCAACTTCTGCTGAAACAAAAAGATTCTGGGGGTTTTAAGACCTCCTCTCCTAGAGATTCCTAATTGTGAATTTGGATGTAAGAAAACTATTTATGAAGTGCTCTCTCTATTCAACTCTTTAATTTTCTAAATGCGTTTTCTTAGACATTTGTTTATCTTTGAAATTAAAAAGCCTTCAGAATACAAGAGAAGCTTGGGATAACACACCTTATTATATACCACTGTAAATAGAATCCTTCCCCCAAGATGAAGGAGGGCCATCATCAGCTTCATGAAGGCAAAGCTTTCCTCAGGGCAGCCTGATTCTTGAAGTGCAGGTGCTCATCCTGTAGGTCAAGGGTAGTGGGGAAAGTTCTCGCTCTGATCCATTCCTCCCACCCCCACACATCTCCAAATAATCCTGTTATTTATGCTGCATTGCAAAGCTAGACCCTTAGTTATTAGGCATCATCCCCTCTAAAATTGAAGCTATTTTGATGTAACACTTCAGAGCAGTTATGCCAAGCATTAAAATACCTTTTTTTTTGTTTGTTTTTGCTTTCTAACTATTATTCAAATGAGAGAAATTCATAACCATTCCCCTTTCTAAACTCCATGCTAGTGACCGGGGGGCGGGGGGGGCTGGCTCCGGGGAAGACAAGACAACAAAGACAAGAACTATGAAGATGCCTGCTTCTCACTTTTGCTAATTTGGTAGTTTAGAAAAACCGATATTTCGGGGCCCGGCCCCGTGGTGTGGCAGTAAGTGCGCGTGCTTCGCTGCTGGTGACCCAGGGTTCGGAACCCCGGGCGTGCACCGGGACACCACTTGTCAGGTCATGCTGTGGTGGTGTCCCATGTAAAGTGGAGGAAGATGGGCACGGATGTTAGCCTAGGGCCAGTTTGCCTCGGCAAAAATAGGAGGATTGGCATGGATGTTAGCTCAGGGCTGATCTTCCTCACACACACACACACAAAAAACAAAAAGAAACTCATATTTAAAAATTTTTTTAGACTGTGTCACAGTATCCTCTAGTCAAAATGGCCACATTGCGTAGTCTTATGATGATGTTCATAGTTTTAAAATAGATGCAAAAATGTGACCTTATCGAAATATCTATGTCAAGAAATTTCGTTAAAATATCAAATATTTATTAAAATCCATCCTAGAGACAAGTTCAATCAAGAAAAATGGAGTAGGTGATTTAATACAATTAGGAAGAGATATGTAGAAAGTTGAGCAGGCATGCCAAAGAAGGTTGATTGGAAAATCCATGTCAAACAGGAGGTGTTTTAGGTTCCTGTCCTGGACCTTTTATAAAACTTATGTCAACCAATTAGATAAAGGAATAAAAGCATAAAATTCGTTGTTATCTTATTCACAGACAACACACATCTGAGGATGGCAGATAGTCTTTTGGATGACAAAATCCAGTTTTAAATGATTGATTCTCACCCTCTAACTCCCATTCCAGTGAGCTGATATAACATTCAAGATCTTAGGGTTAAAAAAGTAATCAACTGCATGCATAGACAACAAGGAAGAGAGATTTGGATTTACAATATTCTTTTTATGAGAAAAAAGTGTTATTTGATTGGTAAATTCACTATGAGATTACCATGTAACATGGCTGTTCTAAAAGTCAATTGAAATTTAGGTTACATCAACAGGAAGAAAGTATGTGAAATGAGGGAGGTGATAGTACCACGTATTCTGGAATATCGGTTGGTCAAATATTAGTTAAAGTAATGTGGTCAGCTCTGGGTGCCATGCACCGAGTGATTCTGAAACCTGGGATATAAGCAGAGAGGCATAAGATGCTAAGCGGTGATTGTAGGGGCGGTGGTAGTGTTCTATGAGAAAGAGTTTTAGAGATAGGAGAAATGAAAACATTTGAAGAGCTAGCATATGAAAAAAATGAATTGGGTTTATTCTGTATAGTGTAGAAGGCACAGAAAAAGGTAAAAGTTACATGGAGAGAGAATTCAGGGGAACATAAGGAAGAACTTTTTGGCAGTTAGCACCCGTCCGAGGGTGGAATTGCTGCCTTGTATCATAATGTATCCTCTACTCATTGAAAATGCCATGTAGAAATTACCAACCAGAGACCTGTTGATGGGATTCTCATTACTGCCACAGTGTTGGGACTGAATCATTTATAAAGCCAACCAGAGACATGATAAATATTTGTCGAATAAATTAATAAATGACTTACGATTATAAGACCATGAAAGTGAAAACACCCAACCATTATTTATCAATAAAACATATTGCAGTTTTGTTCATCAGAACTTTTCCTATGTGGTAGTCTCTTAGGAGTAGATAAAAAAGGAAGAGATAGAACACAGTGCGTGATTTACAAGGTATTCAGATTAGTAGAGGTTAGTTAGCATGAGGTCAGTTGGTATACCAG